CGCTAAGAAACTTTACTTTGAGCCTTCCTGCCAACGACAAGTTCATTAATACCTGGGGTTACTCAACACTTGGGAGTTGTTTTGTAAATTACGCTATGTCAGGTGGACTCAGATGGTTATAACAATTTAAAATAACACTTTGAATGCATATACAACATATAACCTGTTAATATATGGTAATCAACGAATGTCGTTTTGAAAACAGCGTTTTACCCGCATCTTGCAAGATAATGGAATGATTCCAATTGTGGGCGTGCCAATACAACGCCGCCATCAAGTCTAGATTGGAAAAGACCCAAGTGTTTTGCAAAGTTCCAACATATATTGCTAACTGACTGTCCGAATAATTCTCAGAACGGCTGTAAGAGGCATTCAGCTTTGCAGCTAAAAAAAAATAATCAGGTCGATATGTCTAACTATCCAAAATACCACAACTTGAGGCAAAATTACAGAAGATTCCGCACTCGAATCGATCAAATCAACATTTTCCAAAGAAACTCTATCAGTCAACAGAAAACATATGCTGACATCTTGTTCTTGACGTATTTATAAACAAAACTATGTTTTTCGGCCACCTGAAAGGTATTTATGATCGCTAGATTGATCGATCTATGTTTTGGCTGATTACAATCATGTCTAGATGACTTCTCAGGACTGGGGGAGGGGAATGATCAGCAGAAAGAGGCAAACCTACAGGACTGTACACTCGGGGCTAACGTACAAGTGATAATAACATAAATGTGATTAATTTACTGATATTTACTATATCACGTGTTATGCATGAAATCAAACATAAAAACAGGACAAACAAAGGTCATAGCGGTGAAACATCGTAGGGATTCAACAAATGCGAAACTATTTTTCAGGTTTTTCCATGCTTAATAATGTGCTGTACACCTTTGTTGATGGTCAGTTTAGATGAAATAGGGGTATCTAACGCCATATTTCCCTCTCATTGAACTATGAAACGTTACATCTGCGTTTTTCATGCATTGCGCGAGACCTTGCAGTGAAAAAAAAATCACCAATTTAGTTTTTGTTTCCAGTCAACTTCGCGTAATGAATCATGGGAACAGACTAAGATCGCCCATTGATTGGTGAATTGAAGTCTAATAAGTATATGTAGCAAGCAATGCCTGGCGAGCAAGTGGAGCTGAATAGTTTATTGACCCACTAAAAATAAAACTGACGTAACCATAGAACGCTAAACCATGTGAACTGCGGAAATCAATGTATTAGTTCACGCACGAGTTAAACGGGATTCAAGGTGCCACGAACGATTCATATTTTGCCATGGATCAAAATGAAACAAAACACTATTCAAGATTGTTATTTTTTCAGTCTGTTGTCAGAAAACAATTGCCTTATTATTGAACAACATTCTGAAGATTTTTTATCATAAGTGAGCTGTTTCGCTTTGCATAATTTGTAAAACAACAAACAAAATGGCAGTAACCATTGACTGGAAATGCACCATTTTCAAACTTTTGGGGTATATATGAATTTTTTCCATACTCTTCTATATATACACATGTTATCCAAAGAGCATGTTTGTAAGTGTTTTTGGCTGCTCGCAATGCCCTCGCTATAGCAGAGGGATTGTGGTCTATTGCATCAATCAGTGAGCGTCTAAGAGCTTATTTTCCTCATCAATCATGATTTATTGTGTAAATTGACTGGAAACTAATATGGTAGCATTATCATCTTGGATAAATATGGTTTTACGTTTTTTAACCCTTGAATTTGAAATATTATGTAATATTATTACGTGTTATTTGTTACGTTTCAGTGTTAATTAATACCATTATGTGTGCACATTATAATTATGTTAATTATCATTATTATTTTTTACAGGAACACAAAAAGATTTTATTTTTCCATCCACCAGATGCTTCAATTGACACCAAAATCAAAGCAGTCGGTTTGTGTGAAGCCCTTGTCAAGTTTACAGAGTAAGTTGCAAATGAAACTAAAATAGACCAAGAACACAAGTAATAATTAGTAATAAAGAAGATTTTTCAAACTAATGCTTCAGTGAAGTCCAAGAAAACAAATTTCTGAAGATTTATTTATGATAAATAATCTAAGGTTTCTTAATATATATAATTAACCCTTACACCACCAGTTCCCTTTTTTCATCACAAATTCAAAAATGGTCCTGCTATAGTCTGCACTTTCTTTCAGAAGATTGGGACAAAAATAGTAAATTTTTTTGAGTAAAAACTAAAAATTGACTAAAATTTTGTCTGTTGGCTCCAAAATTAGGGTTCATTTCCAGAAATATTTAAAAATATAAGAAAAAAGTGCAGAAAAATTTGGGCGAGAAATTCTGCTGGTGAAAAGGTTAATCTGTGACAGTCTGATCAAACAAGTGCCTCCTATCACCGTCCCTCAATGTTGAGGGACGGTGCTCCTATATATAGTGCAGGAATGAGGATAAGTTTGGGTATTTACAGATGAAATACTGTTAGATACAATACATTAATTTTTCTTGGGGTTTTAATTTCGCTATTTTCACTGATAAGTAAAATCTGTTGAATTAAATCTATGTGAACATGTAAAATAACATTAAAACAGATTGTCTCCTTGACAAATTTGTAAAGTTAAAATAGTGAAAATAAATGGTTTTACAGTACATCTTTTCTTCACTAATGCATATGCGTGAAATGAGAAAGGGGGTGTGTTTGCATGCGCAAACAAGTCGGTCTGCAGGGTGACCTTCAGTGTACCGGAAATCATGCAACGGGTCGGAGTTTCAGCGAGTTTTCATAATTTTCAATGTCGTTTTTAGATTACTTCTTGTTTTTTTCAACCCTAGAAAAAATAAGGTTGCGAAAGTTTGCGAAACATGGGGTTTGGTATGCTGTTTGTTGTTGAGATATCCAGACTTATTCCGTGTTTCCCTTTGATCGCCAGAAGTGGCAATGTGTTTTTTTTTCCCGTTGAATGTCGCTCATTTATCAGTGTTTTTGTCTTGGCGCTATTGTTTTTTTATGCTATAACTGAAACAACTCGATCACGTGATCTTCCGAAGTCGCCCGATTGACTCCGAAAATGACCGATAGTCAAAGATAAACGTTCATTTGTGTAAATCGGCTTATTTTTTAATGCGACGAAATAAACAGTCAAAATAAACAATCAACATCGCGGCAACTATCATAGTTCAAAGGAAACGAAGTGGTTGTTCTTCCTGGGGTTTATAGTTCCATGTATATAGTTTGTTCAGGGAATTAGGTATAAAAGACTCTTCCCAATCCTACGCAATTAAATATCTGCTCAAATTTAATATTCACATTCACAATCGAACTCCATAGACCGAGTGTGATTAATGATAATACTAGATTTAGAATTCCACTCATTCTGTGTCCATAAAATTAGGAATGAGGAAGTCTTGCTTGACCTCATGGTTTATTATTATTAAGAATTGCATTTTTTGTGTTTTATTCACTGAAGTGTCTCTTTATTATATGGCATAATTCAGTATTAAAATCATCGTTCGTCATTGATTCTTTCCCACACATACTTACATGACCAGCCTAAGCAACATACACTTTATATACAAAAAGATTATCAGTGCATTTCCTTGTTATCAAGCGTTTTACCAGAGTCTCATAATTTCAAACTCGGGAGTAAATCCATTGGTGCATCAATCACAGACTGACTGTAGCCTAACCTTTCAGTTTTATTGTAGCGTTACTTTCTTTTTATTTTTTTTATTCAGAACTTTTTCTGACCAGCCATGCGAGTCGTTACATACTCTCAAAACGAGACAAGTGTTCTTTCAAGCAGAGAAGGACTTCTGGATGGTTATTGTAAGTATTACGTTTATTGCAAAGTCAGCAGAACCATTTTCAGTTTACACATAAATCGGTTGAATACAGTGATTACCATATTTAACTGTGTAAACATCTAATGTCATGTCAAATGCAAACCAACCCCCAACCCTCCACTTTTTTTTTTTTTTAAATGTTTTTGTACCAGGCGACAGTTCCGGACTTTGAATGTCACTGTTGTCTCTCCTGACTTTTTTTTTTATGTGCAAACCCTTTAAAATGTAGAAAATTAGCACGACAAAAAAAAAAACAGCAATACATATATCTGTACAGTAGTTGTCTTTTTGCCAATAGGAACATGATTCACATGATCCTCAAATTCCCCTTTCAGTGTTTCGCCATTTCACTCTGCCACATGTTTTGCAAAAATCAATGCAAACAGATCACACTTCAACATTGGTAAATTACTTCTGCATTGCAATAAAAAAAATATATATTTAATTCTACTCTTGTCAACAGTCATTTATTGGTTTAGTTTCCAAGAACTTCAGATTTTAACTGAATTTTTATTCCCAATTTGAGTGCACAGCCTTCCCCATAGATCTGTAGGCAAGTAGATAATGCTAGCTTTCCATGTGGTCTTAAAATGTCCCATGCACATAGTGGTACTCAAATTTTAGTAAGCCATTACAGCTATCAAAAACATACCAGTAATTAAGTCTGACTTGGAAATGAATTCTGGAATATTTATCAATGTCTGTTTACTCCCTCACAGACTGTAACTATTCCGAGAAGTGAAAGTGAAAAAGATGGTCAGCCAATCACAGAGTACCATGAAGAAGATGTACAAGACTCTGTGTTCCGGGCAGTTTTGGAACAATCCTACAAAATGTTTAAGGTGGGATTTATTTACTGTATCAATGTCGATTTATCTTTTGCTTGACCCCTAAAGGTCACAATTCTGGTATTTTCTGGGTACCGGTATATCATATTGTTCTACAGAAGCAATAATTAGTCCTCGTTCAAACACAGTCCGAAAAGGAGGACTTATGTTTTGACCTCCGTGTGTCCATGCATGCATGCGTGCGTCCAGACCTGTATCTTAGAAATGCCTTGACCAATCACAATCAAACTTCACACATACATCATACATGATATTATACATGCACATCAATTTGTTTTTCGATCTGATTCAAGATGGCCGAATGGCGGTCATTTTTGTGCTAAAAATCATAAAAATCAAGCATTTTTGGCTGTTTACAGATAGATTTTGTTCAAACTTGGTATATATATTATAAATGTTGGACATTAAAGGATCTTGATGCACATCATTTTGTTTTTCAGATACATGTAAGATTCAAAATGGCCGACTGGCAGCCATTTTGTTTTAATGATTGTGGTTCTAGTGCCATATCTCTGACTTGCTTTGACTGATTATGTTCAAATTTTAAATATTCATTAAACATCATGTCATAGATATACATTTATATTGGTTTGACGATCCTATGACATTCCAGGTTCCTTATGCATGTCATTTTATTTTTCAGATCTGATTTAAAATGGCCTACTCGTGGCCATTATGTATTAATGAATGCAGTTCTAGTGCCATATCTCTGACATGCTTTGACTGATTATGTTCAAATTTTATATATTCATTATACATGTATTCAAAATGGCTGATTTTGTTTTAATTAATGCTGTTCCAGAGCAATATCTCTCAAATTCTTGTTTGACGATCAGATACAAATGTCAAACATTTTAATGTTAAACAATCATCATAATCATATTTCTGACATGTTTATGTTCCAGCTATATTACTATAAACAAAACTATATATCTTAAATTCGATAACTAACAGGGACTGTGCCATGCATCAGTCATATTAAACTGTTCTTGACATTGGGAAATTACTGTTATTTTCGCTATTTTTTGCTGAAGGGATGCTTCAGTGAAAATATACGAATATACCTTTTTTTCTATATTTTACATTCAACTCGTCAAAAATCTATGAAAATAAATTACATACAAAAACACCCAAAAAGTCTTTTCAGCAAAATTTTTAATTCCAGTTAAAATGAAGTACATTGTATCAGTAATAGTGAATTTACTAGGGTGTGTGACCATTTGGCAGTCGTAGATAAGTATATTGAAAGTACCAGGATGTGTAACCTTTTGGCAGTCGTGGATAAGTTCTATTAAAAGTACCAGGATGTGTGACCTTTTGGCAGTCTTGGATAAGTTCTATTAAAAGTACCAGGATGTGTGACCTTTTGGAGGATTCAAAGAACTATAATTTCATCAATTTTTTTGTAAATCGAGGTACAAGCTCTGCTGTTTGGCAAACTTTCAAATTTTTTCCCCACAGTTACCTTCATTTATTACAATTTAATAACAAATTAAATTTAAAAAAAAAAAATTGTCTGGCACTGAATTGAGAGAAAATAAATTTAAATTCCTCTCTTATGTTTCATTCACAGCTCTTCATGGGTACTTTCACTAATATTATTGAGAAGACAAATCTTGATCAGTTAATATATCGAATGGACCATTTTTATTCAAGAGTAAGTCTGTTTACTCATTTATTTTAGTCTCAGTATCTTGGTATACATTAGGCCAGACCTCATTCCACAGATTTTTCAAGAGGAAATCCAAAAATGGCAAGTGATTTTTTTTTGAAGTCATGAGGCAAATAGGGAAGATTATTTTTTTTTGTCAGAAAAAGACATAGGAACTCTAGTTTTTACTGCCCCTAAATTATTTTATTTTAAATGAGACCAGAAATGGTTTTTTAACCCTTATCTAACCAGCGTACTTTTTCATCAACTTGACCTGGGTTAAAACACATAGAATTCAATTAGTTGAGAAAATCCTGCTCTGAACATATTTCTATTGTATGTATAAACTTTGCTGCATTGCTGTATCTCACATCATTGTCTCAAAGACCGATTTCAGCAAAATTACACTCTATGATCTTCGAGTCTCCCACATTGGCCTGGCCTTATGACTTTTATTTTGTTTTGCAGTATCTAGGCACTTTGAGACTAAGTCAAGCTGACATTATGGAAGTAGAGAATGGGATACATTTTTTACCATTAGATAAAAACACTTACCTCAGAATACAGTGTTTTATTAATCTTATTGAGGCCACATTCAGGTTAGTCTATGTTTCTCAGAAAAGACCAAATCATTATCATTACCGGTACTCTGTGTTTTGATTCATTTATTGTCAGGGAAACAATTTCTTAACTCAGTAAATCAGAAAACTACTGACATTCAAATATATATACTTTATAATTTTAATTTATATTTTTTTTTTTTTAGCCAAGTAAAATATACAGCATTCCTGTATAATGATCAGCTTGTTTGGTAAGTCTTTCCTCCTCAACTTTTTGAGTGCTATTTCTTTTCTTTGTTAAAGGGAGAGGGCTGTCACCTGCGCACATGCGGGAATTGAGTCCCAAGCGACGATAACAACACACGCAAAAACCGCAAAGGCTCACGGATAGACGCTTGTTTGTAAACAGTGATACGCTATGGCCATCTGACGCATGCGCAGGTGACTACTCCTTGCTATAAATTTGGCCCCAAACTGACATAATTTCCCATTACAAACTACCCCATAACTTGTGTCATGTGACCACTCTATAACTACGCTATACCGGTACTCCAACCACTCTACTATATGGCAGTTCTGCATTCAGAAAATGAACGTAGCTATTCAATCATATCATAGAATGGACTTACATGTATAGTAATGTAAATCTTAAAAAAAATAGCATTTAACCCTTTTAACCACCAGTTCCCTCTTTGCCATCACGAATTCACAAAATAATCCCAATTATAGTCTGCACTTTTCTTCAGAAGATTGGGACAAAAATAGCCAAATTTGTGCAGAAGTACAAACTGAAAATTGACTCAATTTTTTTCTGTTGGCTCCAAAATGTTGGTCTATTTCCAGAAATATTGAAAAATATAAGAGAAAAGTACAGAAAACTTTGGGCGAGAAAGTCTGGTGGTGAAAAGGTTATTTTGTAATTCAGAGGAATGAGGAATTGGGTTAAATTGATTTAGTATGTTTGTGTCCTTGTCTCTGGGCAGAAAATAGTTTGTAATGTCACCACGCCATGATGAGAGAAAGTTTGGAGTAACATTTTTGTTTTTTATTCAGGAGTGGATTGGAACAGGATGACATGAGAGTACTGTACAAATATCTCACAACAAGTTTATTTCCCTCATCCCTTGAAACTGAAGTAAGTTCTGTACTCATCAGAGTGACTATGTTTGTGTACTTGTACATTTATTCTACATACATACAGCTCTGATCTGCAGTCAGGTACTGAGTCATTCATGTGATTTTGTGAACAAGCCAAAATCGTGGATTTAAAAGCCTGCTAACATTTTGTATTGTCCAATCAATGCATTAAAAATATTCTATATACATGTATATATGAATATACCATGTTGCACAGATTCACATTCATTCGATAATCAAGATGGCCAACTGGCGGCCATTTTCTATGAACAAATGCTGTTCTAGAGCCATATCTCTGACATTTTCTGACCATTCTTGTTCAAACTGATAACTCACCAGGACTATTTAATGAAAATTACTTGATACAAATTGTAAATTTTGATCAAGCCCTGAAGCCAATAGAAAATTATGATGCTCTTTTTGTTCAAAATTCTCAAATACACAAAAATATGCAAATATGCACCAAAATATTGGCGTTTTAAATTGTTAATGGTTTTTAGTATACCAATTGAAACTGCATGGTAACCATACATGACTATGGTATTTGTCACTTATATAAATAAACTGAAATTTGTGATGTAGTATATGTGAGTGAGTGAGTGAGTGAGTGAGTGAGTGTAGGTCAAATAACAGGTGTCCATGTTTTGACCTTTGAACCTGCCCTATAGTTCACCTGTTGACTCATCAATCATCAAGTGGTTATTATCGGCTGCCATCTTGACGTAAATAGAACGCAGAATAGAACCAGTATATTTACTTGTCTCTTTCTGTTTTTAGAATTTGTTTTCACTGTAAACAACAATCTAAATATCTATTTTTGTATAAACTCACTGGCAATAAAATCGAAGCAAAAAATAAGTCACCTATAGTGTCACCTATTTCTCATATTTTTTCACAAATTTTGATTCAAAAATAGTAGTCAAGGATAAATAATGCCCATTCTGTTCATAATTAAATAGGTTATTATCGTAAAATTCATAAAAATGTGCCAGACGAAATTTTTTGACGGGAAAATTATGGCATTCAAACAGAATTAAATGATTACATGTATGTTCTTGTTCACTTCATTGTTACAATAATTTCATCAACAATTCTTCAAATTACTAAACATGAAGTGTTTTTAAAAAAAATCAAATTTATGTAACTGTATCTTTCTTTTGACATTTAACCTCAGCTTAAAGAATCGCCAAAGACAGGTGGTCCATTGCCGCAAATGACATCTTCATCACACTATGGAAAGTAAGTCATGTGATCTGTCATGTGATCAATGTATGTTCAACACCTTTTAAAGTTAAGCATAACTTGTATTCTGTTTCAGTCCTACCTTGGATAGCATTTAATATAAAAAAAAAAAAATCTCGTTCAAGCAAAAGTATTCACATTAACTCATGCAAAATGTCGGTTTTCTACATTAAGTATTGAAAAAAAAGGCATGAAAATCAAGTAAAGATTAGAATACATATTACGAGAATCTATTCAATAATTTGTTCTGCAATACCGAAACATACCAATTTATTGAATTCATACTCTAAACATTATTGTATTAATGTGTATTTTTGGCTGATTTTTTTAAATATTCTTCTTTTTTCAGATATGTTACTGGACCTCCTAATTTAAGTGATCCTTCAAATTGTGGTAGAATTCCGCACATCTATGTAAATACAGACAGCAAATATGAAGAATTGAACCTCATTGTTTACAGGGTATATGAATGATTCAGTTCTAGTTTTACTTCTCTATGTTTAGCATTGAAACTGAGGTCAGGGAATATCTTCAATGTAGCACTACATTGTCTATCCTGTTAGGATACTTATACTTTTATTTTTAAGAGTCTACATTTTCTTTTTTCTCTAGGCTTTAAGTGCCACTGTATGCTTAATGGTGGAAAGTAAGTATATTCTATTTTAATTTATTCGCTCATTTCCACTGAATGTTATTGGCCATCGCACACTGACGTCATATGTTTACATTTGTACCAACCAGCACGAGCGTCTGATAACAAATTTCGCTCACTGGTAAGCTCTAGCTCATGATTGACTGCAACCATGTTGCCTATAAGTTGTTTTATTAACTACTACACACGGATGTATATTTACATACAACGTCGTCATTTTATTTTTGAGTGTGATCGGTCGTTTCTTGCGAAACCAGTCACTGCATACGTGAATTTGGTCATAACGTAAACTAGTGTGACAGCCAATATTTTCCATCATTTACAATTGTTAGCTAGCACACAGACACTCATAGGAGGCAGAGAAAATGAATGGTTGTATATTTTTGTTTGCAGCATCCAACATTCCTGGATTTGAGTGGTATCGAAGTATAGATTCGTTTCTTGGTCCCCAGTTGAGTTCGTTGGCATCGGATATCAGTGAACAATATAACAAAAGAACATCAGTGTGAGTTTTTGAAGATAATTTCCAAGGATAGATAGAATTCAACACTTGATAAAAACCTATGCGAAGACGTTCAAAATGATTGGCTAGAACGGTCACATGCCTTGATACCTTCCCTATTTTTTAGCATATTTTACCTCCCATCACCATTTTATATAATAAATTTTACACTATAAATTTGTAGCAATTCCAAAACTTGATTTTTTCCAGTTGTTTACTAGTGGGTGTTGTTTGCAAATATGTGACATGAACACATGGATATGAAAAAATTGAAAAAAAATGCAGTCCATGTGTGCCTTTAACAACATGACAAGAAAGAAAGTTTAATGTCTGTATAATTTATTTGTTTCAGACCCAGTGAACAACAGTACAAGTACATATACTTCAATCACATGAACCTTGCTCAGAAAACCACAATACACAATAGAAAAACACTAAGTGCAATCATTAACCCAGAAATTATACGCCTCATTGCGGACATCAATGCTGATTTTGACAAGTAAGTGTTCTAGCCACGAAATTGGCAACACAACTTCTTTAAATCATAGTTCAGAGGAGAGACTTTCAGATTCTCTTGTTGCTATGATACCACTACTGGTAAAGAGTGCATTCTTATATTTATATTATAATCTGTATCTATTATGGACAATGAATTGCTGAGAACTTCAATTCTCACCATAGAGCGGTGAGAATATAGAAATTATCATTGATATAAGTCAGTATAAAATCAATTCAGCAGAACTGCAAGGAAATGTCAGTTTCTCACTCTAGTCTCACCCTTTTTAACAGTGTAGTGTACAGAGTATCTGCTGGTAAAGGCTTTATAGGTGGGGGGGGGGCAGTCATTTGTAAAGTCTTTTACTGTATTTTATGAATTTAAAAGTTTTCCAAGGCTGTGTTTTATCAGAGATGCGTCTCGATTTTGTAAATAAAATTTTTCCAGACTTCTCATTAAGTTTTAGACCATTCTGTGTAATTACAAGTAATTTGTATCTCGAATAAAATACCATGAGTCTATTTGTTTCCATGATAATCACATGAGCTTTGAACAGGGTTTTGTTTTCTACTACACATAATGTTACAGTATTGTGTTTTGAGAAAATAGTAATACAAGTTGTTTTTCTGTGAATTTGTAAATCATTAATCAAAATAATGCCCTCTTTAATTGTCATCGTATCCCTGTAAGTTGCAGTGTATGGTAATTTTGCGGTGTTGTACATGGTGTCAGCATCCTACCTTATTAAGAAATGCAATTTCCAAATATGGAATGACGTGTTTGAAAATGAAGTTCGTAGCAAGAAAATTCTACTAATTTTTTCACTTGCTCAGTTCTAGGGGTTCATGTACAGAGCAGTTAAATTGGAAAGATGTATAACAATAATAATGTTATTAGGAGGATACTGCCAAGTACAATGTATGCACTCAAACAGTACACAGTTGCATTCGCCTCTGCTACATATTGATTGATATTCCAACTTTACTGTCTACATGCATAATTTTATGGTATCTTAATTTAATATCCTCATATACTGGTATGTCTAAATACTGTTGTTGGCTGTTTTTAGCTCCGCTGTCGACTTTGTCGAGCGGAGCTTATCATATGAGTGATTGTCCGTCGTCCGTGTCAATGTTTTACTTTTTCGACTTCTTCTTGAAAACTACAAGCCTAAATGCTTTGATACTTGGTGTATATGTACCTTGGGTAGACCTCTCTTAGGTTTGTTCATTTCATGTTGATATCTTCAATTCTCTAATTTTGGTGAATATTTTTGTCATTTTTGGTAAAAAGTGATATTTTCGACTTCTTGTTAAAAACCGCAAGTGCAATTGCTTTGATATTACATATATAGGTACTACATGTGGACCTCTCTCAGATTTGTTCATTTCGTGATGATATCTTCAATTCTCTAATTTTGGTGAATATTTTTGTAATTTTTGGTAAAAAGTGATATTTTCGACTTCTTGTTAAAAACCGCAAGTGCAATTGCTTTGATATTACATATATAGGTACTACATGTGTACCTCTCTCAGATTTAGTTCATTTTGTAATGATATCTTTAATTCTCTAATTTTGGTGAATATTTTTGTAATTTTTGGTAAAAAGTGATATTTTCGACTTCTTGTTAAAAACCGCAAGTCCGATTGCTTTGATATTACATATATAGGTACTACATGTGGACCTCTCTCAGATTTGTTCATTTTGTGATGATGTCTTCAATTCTCTAATTTTGGTGAATATTTTTGTAATATTTGGTAAAAAGTGATATTTTCGACTTCTTGTTAAAAACCAATAGTTCAATTGCTTTGATATTACATATATAGATACTACATGTAGACCTTTCTCAGATTTGTTCATTTCGTGATGATATCTTCAATTCTCTAATTTTGGTGAATATTTTTGTCATTTTTGGTAGAAAGTGATATTTTCGACTTCTTGTTAAAAACTGTAAGTCCGATTGCTTTGATACTATACATATTGTTCATTTTCTAATGATGTCTTCAGTTCTTTAATTGAAATGTGCATTGCTAACAGCGGAGCTATCTCAGCCGATAGTCTGCTTGTTTTAATGTCTTCTACGCCTACCTTTACCCACAATGCAGTACACAAACAAGTGTTCAATTACGAGGTACTGAAAGGTATGTTTATCTTATTTCAATTAGAACTGTTGATGATGTTGAGACCGTGATGAAGACAATGTTGGATTGTTGGGTTGTTGGTAAAAAGTCAGACCAAAGAGAGTTCTACGTTGTGATTAACCAGAAGAATGCAAATCTTATAGAAATTAATGGTAAGTTGAATTGTTGGGTGAAAATAGAAACCACAAATCTGTCTACAACCGTTTCATATGTCATTTATCATACATTTTTATGAATATTTGTTGATGTATATTCATATTGAGGCCTAATTCATGATAGAAATGACGTTTTGTACGCCCTTTATCTGCGAGACAATATTACATGATCCAAACAAGTTTCAACTCTGATAATGGCTGCTGTTTTTAGAGTATTTAAAATAGCCATAGCTCTTCTAAAAAATATGTGATGGTTGTTTAGTCTCAATGTCTGGTATATTTGGTGTCCTTAAAGTTGTTATTCAGGATTTAATCGTCACAGATGGCATCAATAAATATTTATTCATGTCACACAGTTTAAAGTATTATCAACTGATAATATATACTAAAGTGAAAACGTTGGTATAAAACAATCGGTTGTTTATTACGTTTTAGATTGCTAAAGTGTACATAACTTTTTCTTCGGTTGAACGAGGACAACATTACGTGATCAACCAGTGTTTATATCTGTTTTTAAAAATCCATAGGGAATCTGAAACAATTGTATCACCCGATTAAATTGTTACTATTACTCAAGTATAGTACATCCATTCTGTTTATAAATAGGTACTCATGGGGAAACTCCATTTTACTCGTAAATAGTGTCTCTATATATATACTATTGGAGATCCATCCTCTCATTTCCTGTTGTTGTGGTAATATGATTCATTCTGTATTTTTTTTTTTTTTCATTTTCTAGAGGAAGTCAAAAGGTTGTGTTCGACACATTTCAACAATATCTTCTTCTTGGATTGAAAGTGCATCACCAAAACCTGAATAACAACAACTTATAATTCAACGTCGATGAACTTTTATCCCGATGATTTCCTGGATAATTAACGTGAATCATGGAGCATTTAATAATGTTGCAAGAAAATCTCAGAAACAGCATCAAAAATAATTACAAAAAAAAATCAATTGAGTTTGGAAAATCTTGATTACTATGTCTGTTCTATAAGAAGTACATATGAACCATTTTGACCAAAAAAACACCTGTAATTTACATAAGCACATGCACTACCAATAGAGCAAGTACGGTGTTGATATGAACCAATCGTATCAACGTAATTCCCTATATGTATTAATTTGGTTCAACAAATTGATATTATAGGTGTTTTGAATTATGTAATTCATTAATATCTTTTTCAAATATCAATTGAAAGTGAAAGTCATGTGACTTCCTGTCATAAAGGCTAACAGTGAAAGTCACTGTAACTTCTTAGGACCCCAGGGATAGGCACCGTGACTCCCTAGGATCCTAGTGATAGTCACCGTGGCTCCCTAGGATCCTAGTGATAGTCACCGTGACTCCCTTGGATCCTACCGGGGTAGTGATAGTCATCGTGACTTCCTTGGATTCCAGTGATAGTCACTGTTACTAAAAAAATGCATACATTTTTCTATGTGTTTTCAAAAATTTTAGTCAATGAAATTGTGTCCATTTTGTATAAAATTAAGACAGAGATTAGAGAAAAAAATATATAATTTAGCATCAAAAGTCAGCAGGAAAAATGATGGGGTTATGGAATGAATCGACAAGTAAAAATGTTATTCCGAGAGATTCTCCTCTACCTAAGTTTCTTTTACTCTGTGATCATTTACAGATTGTAGCAATTATTTTGTGACAGGAGACAACAGTTGTCTTTTAAAACAATATTCAAACCACTAAACCTATAATTTACTAGTACCGATTTTATAGTGAATATTTGTTCTGTTGATCAAAAAATGATCCAAAAAAAGAAACACCCTTTTTTTAGCTCCGCTGTCGACTTTGTCGAGCGGAGCTTATCATATGAGTGATTGTCCGTCGTCGTCCGGTGTCGTCCGTCGTCGTCGTCCGTCGTCCGTTGTCCGTGTCAATGTTT